GATCTTAGTAATTAGCATCCTACACAGTTACACTTATATATCTGCCCAAAAAGAATTTATTTTAGTATAAAAAAACATCTTAAATTGATCTAATTTTCTTGCACTATTAATGAATTGATTATGTTAGCGAAGGAAGAAATTTTGTGACTTTATTTTTGCCACTGAAGTTTGTGATTTCAAGAATAAAAAAAATTAATTGTTGAAAAATCTATAGAAATGAAATTATATTTACAAAGATTCATCCAATAATGCTACTCCACAAAATGTCCAAAGTATTGATTATTTTTTATTAAATATTGTTTTTTTTGGGTTATTCCCTAAGACACAACTACCTACGCAGTTTAATGAATTTCATTAACAACAGGCTAATGTATATTTTTATTCCTTTAACTTTATATAAAGTTTTAATTTGCTCTCTTAACTTTAAAAAGTATGATATTAGTCGCTAAGATCATTAACAAAAAATGATGATATTGAAATCTTGAATGCTGATAAAACATTCTCAAATGCTAATATATTAAGTTCAATTTAAAAAAATTATTATTATCACAAAAAATATCACTTAAGACTAGCACATTTAGGATTAAAGGATTGAAAATATACTTTTTAAAGTTAAGGGATCAAATTAAAACCTTATATAAAATTAAATGACTAAGTATATACTTTAGTCTTAAGAATAATTTTGAATTTTTTGAGTCGTATGAAGTTGTTCAAAAATATTTAACTGTAAAGACTTTGTAACTGAGTTGGCCATTTAAAAAAAAAAAAAAAAAGAACTTTGTGACGAAAGTAAAATGGGTGTCGCTGAGGTACCAATTAAATTAGAAATAAGGTACTAAAATGCTCTGGAAGTGTTCACTCCCTCGGGAAAGTTTTTTTTTGTTTGTTGCTCATGTTAGATATTGGGCTTAAGTCCGCCCTTATAAGCCGGACTACTTGATCTAAGAGAAGAGAATCTCTTAGATCAAGAAAATCAATCACAAATCAGAAGCAATCAATGATTGATCAGGGAATATTCAATCAAGTATTAAGTACTTGATTGATTGGAGAAAAATAATCAGACATTAATTATTGATCGTGGAATCAAAATATTATCCCACAATAAATAAGGGAGATTGCATCTTCCTGAAATAAGAGCCACCCTGGCCCTATAAATAGGAGGTGCTTTCACCCTTTCTCTTCATCCCAACCGTTGAGCTTTCTGGTGTTCTCTTCTCCTCTCTTTAGTGCATCTGTTGTACCATTCTATCAGGACTCTAGTAGTCAGATACTAGACTGACCTGATACGTTTCTTTTCTTTGTTTATATTATTTCCTTTGTCTCAAATATGTCCTAAAATTATAGTTTTGTAGTAATTTTACCCAAAACCGTTTTTTATCGTTAACTTTGATTGTTAAGAACATGTGGTAACTAAAAATGCCACCTCATCACCACATGGCACTTAATATTACAGCTGACAAAATATCCCCCTAAAAAAAAAAAATTACACCTCAACATCACACTCCCCGCTCTCTGCACAGTCTCCTTCTTCATCGTCCATGAAAACACCAATCACAAAACAATCAATAATGAGAAAGAATCAGATGAACAATCCAGATAATCAGCACCCAGACTTTAAAAAAAATAAAGAGAAGAAGAAAAAGAAATAATAGTGGGTATCATGATAGAGCAGCTGCTAATGCTCAATGCTCAGAAACAAACGAGTCTAATCCATAAACAAAAGAACAGCAAAAAGCTTCTCCTTAGCAAGAAACTAATTCTTAGAAACCACCAAACAAGGAAAAATATTCAATGCAAAAAGCTTTTGAAGAGTATTACCAATTCCGATCAAATGGGGAACAAATAACTCCTTGGCAAAGTTGACCCTTAATGAACCCCAAGAATCATTTCCTTCATGAGCCCCTCCCTCCCAAGAATCAATCGACACACCCATATAAAATACTACCTCATCTCCTTAATATAAAAACTAGTTAACTAATTTGAGTATATTAAGAAAATTAATTATTTTTAAACTAGTTATTTGTAATAAATAAGTGTTGTTTTTCCTAAAATATCTTTACTAATCAAGTATATTGCCTAAAATTATCATTATTATAAGGACTATTATGAAAAAAATAGATAAATATTAGAGATAAAATAGATTGGAGTTTTATATTTAAAACTAAAATAAAAATTAAATAAGCTCATGTTAAGGACAAGGGATGGTACAACAAAATTTATCCATCTAACAGGTAATCATCGTCATCATCTTGATCGGTGCTATTTTCTTCATGGGCTTCTTCCCCATCTAAATCCGCCGATGTACCGACTCTCTCTCCGACAGCATTCGGCTCCTCGTCATTCTGATCAGAGTAAAAGGATTCTGATCAAACATACGTATTCTTCAGCTACCCACCGCTCATCCTCACCTTTAGCCTCCTTACACGGCCTTGTTCATCCCAACCAAGATGACGCCGATAAGCAACACAAGTAACGACTGGAGAACATAATTAAAAAAAAAAAAAAAAGACAGAGATGAGCAACCCATTGAGTCATTAGGTGTCGATTACTCGAAACCAAAATTAATCCCCAAAATTAATCTATGAATTGGTATCAAACCAAATTAACCAAAGCTCCAAAAATCAGTAAAATTAGAATACAGTTCTTCCCTAATAGAAATCAAATCAAAACACAACCTAGCTAAACGAAGCAATATCCGAGTCAAGCAACCGGCTTCCATGCCGGTTATAGTCTCCGATTGGTGGCCTCTTCGCAGCTTCAGTGATCGCATATGGTGACGAAGTACAGCTATGAGCAGCAAATCGTGCTTCCTTCGGTTCGTTCCAGGCCTGCTCCTCTCTATTTCGGCCCGAATCGTCATCGAGACCTGAGACAGAGATTAGAGAGCACCAGCCTCTTATTTGCATTGGGGGCCCTTCCATGGTCGCGGGTAAGAGTGATGGAAAGGAAGGAACTTTTTGTTTTTGGGTTTCAGAGAAAGAGTGAATGAGGGAGAGAGAAAGGGAGACAAGATGAGTTGTAACGATGAGGTGTATAAGTCAAAATCCATGTGGCTGCCATGTAAGCATTTGGAATCAACATTAACGGTCAACGTAAATCGTGGTTAAATTGGAGCAAAATTGCTACGAAATTGTACTTTTAGGACTTTTTTTTGGAGGGGGGGGTTTGAATCCTGGGCGCTCTTTGGGGTTTGTTTGGTTGGAGGGAGGGGAAGGGAAAATGAGCCCCTCCCCTCATTTGGTTAAAAATTTTGGAGGGAAGGGGAGCTAAAATATCCCCTCCCCTCCCCTCCCCTCCCCTCCTCTCCCATCCCCTCATTTTAGCTCCTTTCTAAATTGGAGGTTTTTGGAAGGGAGCTAAATTTTTGGACCATTATACGCTTATAGACTTTTTAATATTTCACTTTTACTCATAAAATATATTATTATAATATTTATTTTAAATAAAAAATATATTATCCTAAGTAAAAAAATAAAAAAATACATTATTATAATTAAAAATATATTATAAAAAATTATTTAAAAATAAAAAATTATCTAAATAAAAAATTATAATATTATAAAATTATTTTTTTATAAATATATTATTTATTAAATATATTTTAAAGCTGGAAAAAAAGATAGCCTAAAGAGAATAAAATTTCATTTTTCTTAGAGCATATAAAATTTGTTAATTTGATTATTTTAAATATATTATTATATTAATTAGAATAAAAAATTACTATACCAATTTTTTAATACACATATTAACATGATAAGACTGAATTTTTATTAAATTATATAATTTAAATTAAGATGTAAATTAATTTATATAATATATCAATAAAAAACATAAACTAATATGTAAGGGTAAAATGGTAAATTGATTATTACTATCCCTCCTCTCCCCTTTTTGAACCAAACAAGGGATCATTAAATATCCTCCCCTCCCTTCTATTTTAATCAAACCAAACAAGGTGAGGATAAAACCTCCCCTCCCCTTCCCTACCCCTCCCTCCTCTACTCTCCCCTCAAACCAAACAGGCCCTTTTAGTAAAATGTTCAAGACATTTTAACACCTTATTCCATTGAATTATAAGAAAAATTTATATAAATTCCAAGGATGAAAATTAATTGCAAATAGGTTCTCTAAAAAATTTGTTTGAATTAAATTCTAAGCCACATAATTGGGAAAAAAAATCTAAAACTACTCATGGAGATATTGACGTATCAATTTTAGAACCTTACAGTTGATCCGTGTGTTTTTATACGAGTTCTCCAAGATCCTTTTATTCATAGGCCAATAGGCCATATTCGTAGGGTTTGTTAATAATTAAATTTTTTATCCGGATGTTCTTTGTAGGTTTTCTTAAATTGTTTTTTTAGGCAGAGTAATTTTTCCTAAGTTATTATATGATACTGCCCTAATAAATTGAACTTTGCCCGATCTAGTCATTTTTTTAGAATTATGTGTGCCCTTATGTATTTCATGTGAGCTAGCAGTCACAAAATGGATTATATTATTTGCAATATATGAATAGTACAACTTTTTTTCCCAGAAAAATTTCTTTTATATTAATACTAATATTGATTGATACATTGGTCTAATATTGTCCCACACATCCAAATCTATTATTGAGAAGAGAAAAATGGAGAAAATTTGGATTAATCTGCTTCATACACTAAATTTCAATAACTAATTTAACTATTTAATACTCATAAATTAGTTATCTTATTCTGATAATTAAAACGGGAGAAAGAGCAAATTTAATCGACAACAAAGCTCATGTTTAAACCATAATTACTCTAAAACCATCAATCAGCTCGTAATGTCCACCATATGAAAAATTCAAATCTTTCTGAGAAATAATAATTCTCATCTACAACAAAACGGTAAATTATAAAATGAATAAAACACATTCGAATGTTTCCCAGAAACAATAATGAGTAGATTCAACGTGAACTATGCTGGCAAAAAAAAAAAAAAAATTCAACGTGAACTATCTAAACGGCCAAGTCCAGTTAATGCCATGAGCTGCGGCATGCACGGTGAACCGACCACCTCAAAGTAGTCGTCGAATTACTCTGACTTGCCTCCAACTTTCTGAACAGCTTCCAGTCGTGGAGGACGGCCTTAAGGTCGGCAATCTTCGCGGTGATGCTCCGGCAACAGTTGGCATGCACGGTGGCGACTGCCCTAAAGTCCTTGCTATCTTGACAAAACCCACTGAAGTAAAGGGTGTCCATAAACCTAACCCCAAGACCTAACTGTCTTATTATGCCTTGTCTTATGAGACCTTGAAGCACGTCTTGTTCTTTCTGACCTTTGGAGCTGTCCTTCTTACCGTACCATGTTTCAAACAATGAAATGGTCTTGTTGTTCGATCGAGCAAAGTAGAATCCTGTGTTGATGTTGTGATTTTCCGACCGAGGATTTCCAAGGTAACGGTCAGTACTGATCTGTAAGTCCTCGTTCGTGTTGTTGCTGAGTCTTGTGAATGGATTTCTTAGCCACATCACATCAGTGTCCTGTTTCATTGAATATTTAATTTGATCACATCAAACAAGTTAACGAGTCAAATAACTAAGAAGTAAGAAATAATAATCATTTCATGGTAATCTCTCCTTCAAATCTTAAATATAAGAGTAATGAAAGGTTTGCTTGATCAAAACTTGAATTTAATTTGTCTTTCAAATTTGTAACTTTCTTCCTGAACTATCCACATTATTACACTTAAATACAAAGGGATTTATGTTAATAAGGTAGTTTCCAAATACAAATAATCTAAATGAGTATGTTAATAAAAACAACATATAATTTTTTTACAAATAACTAATACTTAGCTAACTTCATTAATCTCCATAAATCAGCCATCTGCTGCAATTTTTACTATCTCCGATCTTTAATATATAACTCAATTGACTAATTTAAAAAAATTAAGAAAGTTACTAAATTATTTTAAACTTTTTATATTTATCGTTTTTCTTCAAACTAATTTGCATCACTTAGACATATAATCTGATGATCTACATAAGTATTTTAAAGAGATCATGTAACATTTTATAATTAAGTAATTTAATAATTTTCTTAATTTTTTTAAATTAATTAACTGGATCTTATATTAATGACCAGAAGTAGTAAGAAAGTATGTCTTTGTGCCCAGAATCAGAATTAAAATATAAAAAATAACATTCATTTGCACGTACGTTACTAACTCTTCCACAGTACGCCACCCAGCCATGTTACGTAAACATAATCGAGCATTTCTCGTTCAAGTTTCTGGGTGACTCGTTCTTCTAAATATTATTCTATTGGCTAATCAATTCAATAAACGCACTTTTCTATCCGAAGCAAACATCAAAGAAGCATTATTAGGAGTACTGAGTACACCTTTGACTTCCAATGTCTATGATTAAACAATATTCAATATCGTGCGTTTCAACCTGTTACTTGTTCTCACAACTGATAATGAAAATGATCTTTTTCTGAGACCAAATTGATTAAAAAACCTATAAACACGCACGCGTACATGCCACGTATAGACTCGTATAAAAGAATAAAATTTCAACACAAATTATGCTTTCAGCTCTATGTATTTATCTCAAGTTCATATTAAAGATGTAGTTAATGTTAACCTAACCTATTACAAAATATCTCATGTGACAGTAAGCTAAGCAGCAAAAACAAGATTAAAAGAAAATTTTGAGTTTTTGTCTTAATTAATGCCCAATTTTTCTAATTCAACACCTACAAATACCATATGTTAGGCATGTCTAAAGAGAATAACCAGACTTGGTTCTAATAGAAGAAAATCCTATGCCGAGTTAGGCAAGTCATATGCACAACATTATTGCAGGACAATTAAATAGAAATAACCCATGGAATTTATGCATCACCATTGACTCTCATCATCTCAGGAATTTCCTCTCTAATTTTTTTTTTAAAAATTTTAATGAACATCACTACAAAGTTGATTACTTGATATTAGAAATAACAGCTATAGCAACTTTTATAACTTGGTTATAATAGTTTGAGATTCATTTAGATGAATATTTAAACATAAACATTAATACAAGTTCAACTTTATAAATATATAAATATATACATAAAAAAATCAATAAATATATATAAATTTTAACATATCCATACAATCAATATATGTTGATAATTGAATCTCATACGTTTTCCAGATAATTCAACACCACTACCAAACAAATTGTGATTTTTTTTTAAAACAGCAACATTAACTCTGAAGTCGCAATAGTTTTCTTATACATTAAGATCTAATTATGTAATTAATTACTTGACCTGGCATGTGTTTGGCCAAAATTAAATGCAGATTTCACGTTCCAATGTAAGCCATTCACGTGTCATTTTACTATATAAATCAACTACGATCGTTAACCATCACCCCTCTAATTCATCGAAATTTAGTAGTCTTAATCCCTTGGCTCCCCCCATTAATTACACAGAACCGTTTCAATAACATTAATTGACAGCTAATTACGCCCCTCTAATTCATATTCATACGTATCTCTAAACACGTCAATTCTGTATTTAACTACCTTAAGAAATATGACAGCTTAATTCACAACAATAATATAATAATACCTTACTACCAGATTATTTCTAATAATAATAATGCTCTGGATACCTACTAAATAATGAACCGATAGAAATTAATCCAAAAATGTCTCAGTAGTGAAGTGTGTGAGAACGAAAAGCTATGTGTTCAGAAGCCAAAGGACACGTACGTAGGCAGCACAGTTTACTCTTAATAATAATTTTTTTTCTTTAAAGGTTATATTGTTGAATTTCGGAAACAATTCTGAACGAAATATATTGCATTTAATAAGAAAACAGATAAATATAAACCTCTCAAGGAAGACGCGTATGAACGTACTACAAAGGAATCAAGAGCAGTAATTAGATTCCCAAATATAGAGATAAACCATTATATCAAACTTCCAAGGATTTTAGTATGTTTTGAACTTATACGGCCTGAAATTAAAACTGTATTTAAATTACAGCTTTGTCATAAGCAAATATAGTATTTTAGTCATTCAGTTGAATTGCCCCACAAGAGACACAAAACCCAATCCGTAAAACTTGATAAACGGAATTAATTAATAATCAAACAATATGTTATTTCAGTAAAAACAGACCTATCTCTTTGATGGTGACTGTATTAATTTAATTCCAAAAATAAAGGAATTGAAAGAGAAACGTACCGTGAAGATGAAGTTATATCCTCGTTTGAGAACTTGCAAGAGAAAAAGAGTCCTTCTCCACATCATCTTAATGAACTCAGGTGACATGTACAATTCCTCGCCTTGGAAATCAACACCGTCGGTTTGCAATTTGAAGCAGTTTAGCCGGAGAAACTTGCACCGGTCATACGACGTCTGATCGACGGCGACCACCAGAAGATGGTCTAGAAGAGACCTCGTGCCTTCTCCAAGCCAGAAACTGCTCAGAAATAGGTCAAACATGGTGACGGTATCGCCATTAACGTCTTGTTCTGCATAAGCCTTGTTTATGACAGCCACTATCACAGTCTTGTTCTCCGTTGAGGCTTTCGCTAGAGCAGAATCAAGATCATTATCTTGACTTCCAACAATGGCACTCTAAAAATTAAAGAATGTCACGAAAAATTATATGAACATTGGAAAAGATTGAATCTTGTGATTCATTCTGAAGCAAGAAATTGATGAGAAGGTTTAATTATAAAGTTGAACTTACAGTGTGCGACGGTAACTTCTGGATCAAGAATAATGGGTTAGAGAAAGAAGACGACCGAAACAGGAGAAACATTCCGATGAGGAATAGCAGTACGATGGAGAAATTGGTAACTGTTTGTTTGGGATAATCCATGGCGCGTCTTTACAAATTCTGGTATTTCCTGTGATGTTTTGTGGCGATGAAGAGAATTTGGAGACAGAGTGTGAGGTTGTTTGGTAGAAAGATCATGCAATGTTGGTGATCTCAAAGAGGAGGAGAGGAAAAGAAAAATAGAAAGGCGATTCTCTTTCTTACATTTAGATTCGTGGATAAATATATAGCTGGACGAGGAAGATGTGGATGAATGAAGGAGGAAAAGGAAAAGATATAAAGAAAAAGGAAAAGAGTTTCCCGTTTATGGTTCAGAGAGGTGAATGTAGGCAGACTTATATAGGGAATTCATGGGACCATTCCTCGTGTTTTCATCGATTCATCACTCAACATTCACCCTCACGTAAAGTGGCAAGTTTTTAATTATTTGATAAATTAATTTTCTTGTCCACTATTTGATATATTAATTTACTAGTCAGATAATTTTTTTTTTTTAAAAAAGAAGTTTTTTCTTTTGTTTGCCGCAACTCATGAACCGATATATCCTCTAAGGAGATTTCTAATTCAAAATCTCACATTCCAAAAAGACTCATAGAAAAGGTGTTTGGCGTCATTAACACATTTTGACCAGTAAGTTTGGTGTCATTAACTACAAGACCCCAATTATGAATACGAAATAGTTACATGTTTGAATAAAAATACAATGAATAGTGTAAAATTTAATTTAATTTATTGGCAAAAATAATTTAATTTAAGTTTTTGGTACAATGTATAATTTAAATTTGATCTATATATAGGTATATTTAAATCTATATATCCATATATAAAAGCCATGGTTTATGACATGATGGGTCGAAATAATATGCTTTTATATAAGCTAGGTAATGTGATAGAATGTGACAGAGGCTGGCAAAAAAAGATCAAAAAACGGGACAGAGAAATGTGGGTCCCACGTCATATCGGCAATTTTTAATTCTTATCTTTCATTTTCAAAAGTTAAAAGCGCGTGTAGGAACAGAAAGTATTTTGTTTGGCATGTTCGGTATCTTAAAGCACTTTATAACGCATCTGCCACCCTAAAAATATTTTTTCAGTCATATTTAGTATTTTAAAATAATTCGTAATTGATCTAACATTTTAAAATATTTTTTCACATGCTTTTATCACTCTAAAAAATATTATATGGTACTTAATATATATTTATGTAACGGAGTTTTTTTTTTGAAGAGTTAATGATTAAGTTAAAATAGCACAATTATTTTTGAAAAAATTAATACTTTAAGAGAAAAATTATATCACAAAATCTTTCAGCAAACCGTATGCATCTAAAAAAATACTTCATAATATTGGATGCATTACAAAATATTTAAAATGCTAAACACTGATAAAATACTCTAAAGTGTTAGATTTACCTCGAAAAATTATAAAAATGGTTATTGGGTTAGTTTCACGGGAAACGAATATTTCGAATTTGGCAGCCCATCACTTTTCTCAAAGGTTCTCATTATCTGATTCAATTTCCAAAGAAGACATTCTTATTCAATTGAATGATGTTATCCTTCCAACTCTTGCACATGATTATATCTCAAGTTTGTCAAAACCATTGAGCATTGAGGAAGTACAGGGTGCTATTAAATCAGTGAAATCTGAAATGGTGCTTTGGGGGACTTGATGGCTTCAATCCATTTTTTTTTTCCCAACAATATTATGGCATATTTTGCAAGAGAATGCTCGGGGGTGGGGGTGGTGTTTCAGTGGTTTTTTCATGAATCAGAATTTACCACATCCTATAAACAGAACTTTTATTTACTTTGATTCCTAAAAATAAGGACGTTCAATTCTTTCAATGACTTCAGGCCAATAATAAGCTAATAAGCTAGTGATATGTAACAGGTTGCGACCCAACCTCAATATCTTATTTCTCCTTTTCAGAATACCTTCATAAGAGCACTACTACAATGAAGACTTTTTACTTCTGTTTTGGATGATTTTTTACTTTTGTTTTGAAAGGGACATGAAAAGAAGGGATACAAAAAGTACTCACTTTTTACTTTTGTTGCAGACAGAGGAGAAAAATTATGTTATTTACGTTTGTTTTGGAATAGAAGTAGAAAGTTTTCCCATTTATTACTATTTTCTTGAAACAGACGTGAATGTGCTTGTTTTTTTTTTTAAAAAAAAAATTCACTTCCTGAATATCACTTCCCATACAACCACAACAGCCACTTTCCACTTGAAATAGTAAAAACATTTAAACCAGTCAATATTTTCAGCCAACATATATTAAGATCATGATTTCATCAATATATTAACACAATAAATACTTAATCAAAAAGAACAAATTGCAAAAGTCAAAATTGATAACCTATTATCTCTAAACATAAACTTTATTAATCCCTAGACTACTATTTTTGAAGCAGTTGCTGTGTCAAAAGGTCTTAGATAAAGTCAATATCATCAACAGTGTATGAGCAGTCATTATCAAAAATTTGTAAATTGACAAATGAACAAATTTAAACATATGAAGAAAATAAAATAAGTAACAATTCAATTTAAAAATTCAACAACTATTACTAAACTAAAATTATATTTACTTACCTCGTCAAATTTTTTAATACATCCACTCTTAATAATTTCAAACATGTAATGGACAATGTAATATTTGCACTCTATTGACCTCGTTGCTTAGCACACTGCAAATCACAAGGAAATGATAATGCAAATTTATATATAAAATAACTGTCAGACATGTATACTTAGAACTTCCAGGATACAAAGGTATCTCTGTATCACTCTGCAAGCTATCATTTGTATGTGATTGTGCAAAGAACTCTACCCTTACATCACAAATCATATCGCTCATTCTATCATTTACGTCATCTATAACTTTTTTTTCTTCAAGTACTGAACTTGTTTCTACTTTACCATACCATATTCAACTTGTGTATCGAAGATTTATATCACCGTGAAGCATGTAATCCCTAATATCATCAATACTCAGTCGACTCTCATTTAAACACTTAACATACAGGCTAAAATACATTCCGTTTTTGCTAGGAGCATTTCTTTCAGCAAATTCAGTAAATTGTTCTACTTCACCATACCATATTCCTCTCTTGTTCTCAAACCATTCATTTAACTATAATCCATTGCATTACTAACTAATAAATTTTGAAACATTTAATTCAAGACTAAATTCAATAAGGATTTTTGAACGATTTAAGAGTAATTCAATTCAATTTAGGAAAAAAAAAACAGTCAAACAATTCAAAATTATTGATGGCACTTTAATACAATTCCATTAAATTCCAACAAAATCAAACCAATTCAAAACTAAATTCAACAAGGTATTTTGAATGATTTAAGATTAATTCAATTCAATTTATGGGAAAAAAAACAGTCAAACAATTCAAAACTAATGATGACAATTTAATACAATTCAGTTAAATTCTAACAAAATCAAACCAATTCAAAACTAAATTCAACAGGAAATTTTGAATTTATGATTAAATTCATCAATTTAATCTAATTCAACTCAATCCTAATAAAAATAAAGCAATTAGCAAATCCAACTCAAACAATTCAAACCAATTCAATTTAACACTAATTTTAGCTCTTTAATCTAGTTCAACTTAATTCAAACAAAAATAATGCAAATTCAAGACTAATGATAATAATTTTGTCCAATTGATTAAGGTCAATTATTTAATCCAACAATTTAAAGCAATCCAAAATATAAAAAAACTTGCTTTTTTAACTTTACAATCCCAACCACAATTTTCAAGTTTACTCATTTTGGAAATTTTTTTTGCTAAAGCTTCTTTCTTTTTGAGATAATACATCCAAAAAAATATCAATTTGCTATTAAATAAACCTTTCAAGATCATAATAATTATACTATCATTGTAATGCGATACTAATATATGAAAACTCTTTCTTAGACATTTTGACAAACGCCTTGTGTGCATGAATTTTCAAACAAGTTTAACAAACTTCTCCATCTGCGAATCTATTACCCAATCAACATATACAAGTTTAAAACTTTGTAAATACAATTCAAGATTCAGCAGCAACCACAAACCCACATTCTGTTGTAGCACAAGTAGAATGACCAAAAGGAGGAAGATTGCTTGTCAACTTACCTTATTCAGTACGCAGTGCTATCAAAGAAGGGAGAGGCAGATCGCCGAGCTGCAGAGGGAGAACTATGACCTTCTTTGTTCATTGGAGTCGCCGAACTGGAGAGGGAGAACGACGGCTAGCTCTTCCTCGTTGAGATAGAAACGCTACAGCATCGGCGGAGACGCAACTGCCGCCTGTTTTATTAGTAACAAACAGGAAGGAGCCAACTTCTCTCTGTTTTAATAAAACAGACGAGAATTTCTCGTTTACTGAAGACAAGAATACTCACTTTTTTCTCTTCCATTTTCATAAATAGACATGAATAGGGAAGGTAAAACGTATGTTTTCTTGTAGTGGGGATGTCAAATTAAAATCATTGCAGAAGCAGGTGGTGTATTCTTAGAATACATTTCCAGTGGCAAGCTAACTTGCCTTCACAAGCTGGGAGATTTACTTTAATTAATTAAGTCTATTACTTCTTTGATGATTACTGAGCACAATTCTTCGATTAATAATCTATTTAAAGATTTGGTCTTTAATAAATCCCAATAGTAAGTATCATGCGATTTATGTAACCAACCCTACTAAGTGAGATAAAACTTTATTATTGTTATATTGGTGCACCCTCTGACTTTTATAAGCTTCTAGTGTCTGTTGCGCACAAAATTGATATGAAAATTGCAGATTTCTTTTACGGTCTTGGTGATTGTCACAGGAGGATGTATCTCCTAGCGGGGGACAAAATTTGTTATTCAAGGAGTTTGGGTGGCGTGGGGCTTCGGAAAATAGAGGATTTTAATTAATAAAACTTTGTGGGCAACTGATAAATCTTTGTTGAAATTAGTTTTGGCCCCAAAATATTCATCTTCTATGGAAGAGGGAGTTTTAGACAAATGAGCCTCACGTGCAATCTGGGATGTGCGGCTATCATTAATGCGATAGTTGAGCCATGCACTACAATTAATATGGTCCATTATCCAATGCGGATTGATTTGGGTGCCCCAAAAAGCTGATTTCCTTGGTCCAGATTCAATTTTTTTTTATTTTTTAAAAATAATTATGTTAATAAATTTAGAATTTAAAATAAAAGATGATTTCTTAACTATTATTTTTTATTTAAAAATAATTAATTATCAATATTAAGTTTGAACTGTTCGGATCAAATTTCATTAGTTTAAAGTGAATGAGCTTTGAGTGCTTATTAAGAGTGATAGTAATGGGTGCTCAAACCTCATAAAATCTGAATCATTATGATTTTATTTTTTTATTTTATAAGTAATTATTTTACCAGATGTAGAATTTAAAATAAAAAAAATATATTAACTATCATTTTTAAAAATAATTTTTTATTCAAAAATAATTAATTAAAAAAGTTTAAATCTGAAGGGTCTTTTCAGAGTTGGAATAATCGGCAAAGCTCAATATCAAGATCTATTGCTAGGTTACAAATGAGGCTATGTTCTCAGCAGACTTTTGAGTGGTGTCCTAGACTTAACTACTCCAAAAAAGTCCCTGATCATCTCTGTCCGGTTTCAAGGTTCTATTCTAAGGGTCTTTCGTGGCAATCTCCCAGGAGTGTTTGGATAGATACTACTGATCAGAGCTCCAATGACAATGGATGTCATTAATCCAAACATTTTGGAAATCGGCTCCATTGTCCACTTAAGGAATTGAGTTCTGCTTTTCTGGAATTCTATTAGCTGACCATTTCATCCCATCACCCCTCCTTCTGAAAAAACCAAGGACAATGACGAGGATGATGAAGGATTGTGTGCGGATGACGCCAAAAGTGAACGACGCCTGCAAGCTCTTCAATCTGTCATCTTCTTGAGCCGCCCTCCTTGTCACTCACTCCAACTTTTGTTCTTCAAGACAACGTGTTGTCTTTGATCATGGAGTTCTTCAATCAGACATTTGTCTCCTCCTCCTCCTTAGATATGCGCGGTTGGTTTATTTCCTGGTGTCTGCATATAATTTGTTGGATTAAGGTGGATATAACAACTTGAAGTATTTTTTCTGGTTCATCCAATATTGTGAATAAATTTTTTAAGTACTTTCAGTATCTTAAAATATTTTTTTTGTGTATTCAGTACTTTAAAATATTTGTGCACTTTAACCTTAATTTGTTATTTGGTTTATTTTAATTTTATTTATATTCACATAGTAACATTAATCCAATTGTAATATGAGACTATAGGAACTTGTATATTAATTTTTTAATAGAAAATGTATTTAACAAAAGGAAGACATTACAACAACAATCTAAAACTAGTTCACTTCATCAACCTCCTCCTCTTGTTTAAGAGCTGAATACTAATCAAGAGTACAAAAATTTTTCTCGATAGTACATGAAGACTAGTAAGAAAAAAAAATATCAGCAAACCTAAAATTTTTCTGAAAGTATAGTTAATTAGAAGCTGCCAATCCTATGAAATAACATCCTATTATCCTCAATAAAATTACCTCCGGTTTTAATTATAAGAGATTATTCGAGTATAGTACCTCTAAAGGATAAGAAGTATCACAATCTATTTTCTTTTTGTTTTTGTCAGAACGGCCTCTACACAACTAGAAAATAAGACAATGTTCCCGTATCTTTCGGCCCAACAGATATTTAGGCCATGGCCATGCATGATTCTCCGTGATGTTCTTATTATAACTTTTAAATAACTAATTTAGGAATAATAAATAATTAGTTAAAATTAATTAAAAATAATAAATAAGCTAGAAATATATTTTTGTTTTTGAATATGTCCTTATAATAAATGAGAAAAAAATAAAGAGAATATATAGAAAAATGTGATAAGAGAAAAATAATTAAAAACAATATTAAAAAATTGTATTAAATATTAAGACAAACCAAAATTGAAGTTTATAAAATAAACTACACTTTTTTAAAATTTGAAACTTAAAAATAAAACCGAAGAAGAAAAGACTGGTTAAAGTAGTCACTTAATTTTATATGTTCTCCTTTTATTAAAATAATCTTAAATGTTCCATGAATAATGACTAAATTCTATAGAAAGTAATCTAGCCCCACAGTAGAGAAAAGCGACACAAAAAGATTTGGCAGTTAGTTCCTATTCCCTGGAATCTTGAGGATATATTTAACTAAAGAAATAAGGTAGGGGAATCTTAAAAAGAAAAAGGAAAAAAAAATTGTATCCCCAAAAAAAAAAATGAAAATGAAAATGAAAAACCCAGTCAACGCCTGAGGGCGAATTCGTAAATTCATAGAGCCTCCTTGAACTTTCCTTTTCGTTATATGATTCTTCCTCAGCCGCAGGCGGAAGGGGATTTCTGATATCTGATCTCGATCATTCTGCTTCCTTCTCTTTGCTCTGATTCTTAATCCTTTTTGTTTGTGTGCGATCTCCACAAGCTGATTTATGGATTTCAGCTGCAAAATTGATTCGATTGAAGTGGGTGTGATCGCAAATTTCTACGGGCAACAAGCATCTGATTTTCTGGTTCCATCGATATTTCAAACCCTTGATCGATTGATTCCTTGGTTACGGTTTCTACGGTTTGGTCTTCCCAAGTAATTTATAGCTTGCTCTCTTGTTTGATTTTTCAGGAAGGTATCCTTTTGTGTTCCTCGGTCAGTTCCCTTTCCCTTTTAAAAATTAAGTTTTGCTTGATGCATAGGTGAATTCTATGCAGAGGAAAATGAGAAGGAAAAGCAGATTTGGTTTCTGAGCATCGATTGAAATTTTTTCGAGTATCTAAAGCTTCTGATTATGCTACCTACTTCATGTCTTGAAGGGGTCGTTATAAACCAGTTTCTTTATATTTACTAAACTGAAATTTAGTTGATTTTGAACGCACTGAAAATATACTGTCTCTGTTGTAGCTAGATCCTGTTATAATGAATAAAGCATCATTTTTAACATCACAAAGCCTATCAGATGAGGGGAGTGATATACTCTGCAGGAGCAGGAACAGATTTTAGAGAGAAAAGGTACTGGGCAGAGTTTAGAGAGAAAAGGGAAAACAAAACCTACTAACAATATCGGCCAGTCGGTAATAATTCAATAATCTAACCAGTGTTAAAGCAATAATTGATTTTTATGTTGTTATACTCTTATTATAAACTATGGTAAAGTCATATAATAATAATTTATTGATTTTGCTATTATTCTTCAATTATATAATATGACCATTTATTATCCATATCATAGATTCCTTAAGCTACCAAGTCATATTAGGTTATCTAGCCATTTCTGATTATTTCCCACTTATTGGGAAAAGCTCAAGTCATTCAACTTTTTTAGGCGCATTGGAGCGGAAAATGCCTACTTGAACCAATAGTTATGGCTAGTCGAAGGAATGAAAGATGCTTCAACAACTTTTGAGAGTCAAAAATTGCATTTCTTGTTAACTCATCTATAGCTTCCATTTTGTTCCCCCCTGATACGCCGAAAAGAAAAGGATCTATAGCTTCCATTAGGTGTACTTTTTTTCAAGTTGAATCTTTCTGCTACTTTCTTGCTTCAGAACTCAGGGTTGAGTTTTCCCTAACAGTGGAAAATGATGAGGAATAGTTATGGATATTAGGAGCACTATAATTATGGTTTGTATTTACAAGTAAAATGGGAATTTATGATATGGGCGGTAATTAGTTAAATACTTGTGAGTGAGGATTATTTGGGTCATATCAAAGGTTAAATTAATTGTTATCTTAAAGGTTCAAAATTTCTAAGCGTTTCTTTCTATTTGGATTTATCAAACTTGAGACTAAAATTCAATTTTTTTTTTTAACTAGAGTTCTGTTCTTTCCTTTTAACTTCCTGAACTTCTATTTGATTTCTTGCTGGGTTCTGCATCAAGAAGTCAAATTATATTAATTAAAATTTGTGTTTGTTTGAATTGAGTTGAAAGAACCAGAAAGTTTGATTTTTGATGTCATTGGCACTATTGTACTATGCTTCCTTTAAACTGACAACCAGAAAATTCTCATTCTTCTTTATGTTCTTTTATACCCAATGAAATGAACCAGTTTAAATTAAGTCTTGTTGCATCTGATGTGTGACTCCATATCGTTATTTTATATTTCTACTGTTGCTTGAGAATGATTATTTATATACTGTGTGTTTCGATTTTTCACAGTTTACTTGGAAAGTTTGCACATCGGGTCTTTTGTCATCTTATACTGGGCTCCGGTGTCTTTTACATAAGTTCTATAGTGATAAAAGGGAAAGCAGTTGAAACGATTGTCTGTCTACTATTTTACGGTTAAAAACTGACCATGTCAGCCAGATCTTCCCTCAAGAAGATGTCGCAGGCTAAGGGTCAATCTTCTGGTTGGGCTGCTTTTGATTTCAAGCAGAGACAGAAACAGGGTCTTGAATCTGAAGTTGCCCAGGACCCATTCCCGGCTATAGCAAGCAAACGCAATTCTTTGCCTCAGGGTGAGAAGATGCTCAGGAATAACCACGCTCTGCTCAAGTCATTTTCTTCAGTCCTCCTTCCTTCTATTAATTTTCCAGCTGCGAAAGAGAATGGGAATAACAAAACTATGTTTTTAAGCGGTGACTCTGGTGGCAATCATCGTAGTGCTGTTCCTCTGAAAGATGCTACATTAGCCACAAAGAAGCTCAAAGAGCAACATTGTTGGGCTGAAAATAGCTTGATTGAAGATGTGTTGGCTACTGTGAGTAATGATATTTCTAAGGCCTCAACATTTTTGGAAGCAATGGCTTCTTCAGTCAACTTTGAAGAACATATTATGGCTTCTGCAGTCAATTCTGAAGATCAAAATGAATCAATTGTTCCTCGATCAGCTGCTTTGGCTGATATTCCATGTGATAAGGCAAATAAAGGCCTCGCTTTAGAAAATCCAACGGACCTTGCTCCTTTTGGTTCTACTCATTCTGGTCATCACAAAGACTATGACAAAGACCATGAAGGTGGAAAAACTTCCCTAGTCCAAAGCTTCTCTGGCCATGAAAACTTGAGATTCAATACTGGTCTCTTGAACTCTGTTCCTGTTGAGCCTGAGTGGGAAGAGGATGATGTTTATTTAAGTCATCGAATGAATGCATTGCGAGTGATGAGGTATGAATGTTGGCTCATTCCTTTACCCCTGAGATGTCCTTGAAAATTGTCTGTTGCGTATTAAAATTTTCTGTATCCTGGGGTCAGTATTTGGCTAACTATGTGGTGTTTATACAGCATATCTTACTTGTACTTTGTTTGGTCAACCTTCGACAAGACCCTAAGGTAATATATTATATTTGTTTTACAGGTCAGCATCCCGACACTCAAAGGGAGCCACTAATGCTTTTCTGAGAGGTGATCATTGTTCTGCTCGGCAGCACTCAATGAAGGCCCAAGAGAACTTGCTTACTGCTCAAAGACTTAATGCTAAGGCTGCCAAAGAAATTTTTAGTATAAGGAATAGTGAAAATGATATATGGAGATTGGATTTGCATGGTCTTCATGCATCAGAAGCTATTGAAGCCTTGCAAGAATATCTGCATAGAATTGAAAGCCAGGGATTCTTAAAAGGTTCAAATGGAGTGAAGGATGAGGATGGGGTTGTAGATTTGACTTCTGGCTCAGTTAATAGCATGGATAAGCGAAATTTAGATAAAAAGCAGGCACCTGTAAGGCTTAGGTCATCAGCTTTGGAAGTCATAACAGGTATCTTTACCTTTTTCACTATGGACAACTTTTCGAATATATGTTTGTGCTTATCTGGGTATTAGCTAATAGCCTAAGAAGGCCCTGGGAATTACTTTTTGCCTCTGTTGATACCAAGCAACATGTCAACCTTTATAGCCTTGAAAGATGCACAAGTGTTGGAGAAATAATTCATTACGTCTAACTTATGTTGTTCTGTATTTTAGTTATCTTGTTTTATTGAAGGGTTATTTGCCCTTTCCAACGAAATTGCCCACTGCCCAGTCAGCCAGCCTTGAATTGGCTGAAAATACATCTCTTCTTATCACTTGCCACTGTCTCAAGGGGAATGATTTTCCTTAATGGTCCTATTGATTCTCTTGCTTGTTATTGGCTAAAGAAAACATCAACTCTGGGCTGCTAAAAGTATTTTTGTTGCATTAGTATGCATGTCACAGCTTATAAATTCCATGACAAATGAAATTAGAAAATTTAATTCTATAGAAGACCACCACGGGGATTTAGGAAGCAGGATAGAAATGATACTCAGTGAGTGAAAATCGGTAGTCTGAAGGAAGGGAAAAAAAACAGAAAAATGAATAAATCTTTTTTCCCATCTGTACAAGTGATGATGTAATTTTTATTACTTTGTTTTGTTGGTGCTATGATTCCCATGGCAGTGGATTGATTTGTTTTATGTAAACTGTCAACTTCCTTAATTACTGGACTAGTAACTTTATGTCCATTGGATGGATCAGTTAATTACCTATCATTTCGTCAGGTATTGGTAATCATAGTCGAGGACAAGCTGCTCTTCCAACAGCTGTGAGAAGTTTCCTTAATGAAAATGGGTGAGATATCTTTCTTTTTACAGAGGACATACCCCATGTACCATTGGAATCTAGTTCACCTTGCTTCTTTGTACCTCCTCATTTTCTTCTCACTTTAATTTAATGATGTTACTCTGCAGATACCGTTTTGAAGAGATGAGACCAGGAGTACTCGCTGTGTGGCCCAAGTTTCGTCGAAGTTGATTTCTGACCTTGTGGGATCTATGCAAAATATGTCATTGTACCATTTCAAAGCTTCATCAGGACTGCTGAGCTAGTTTTAGCAACACTTGATTCTTGTCAATTGAGATTTCCCTCTTTAGGTGGAATCGTAACAGGTTATCTTTGTAAGTTCAGGAAGGGAAAACTCGCTTAAAAATTATGATATTGAAGCAATATGCTGTGTGTATAAACATCTGCAAATTCAGATCCATTGCTGATATGACGTGGCTCAGCCTGGGCCGGCTATTCACAATGTGGACGAGAAAGATACGCGTCCCTCCCCTTCAAAAGCTAAGTTTAGAAACTTTTGAATTGTCGAGCAGTCGTTGTCTTTGTCCTATTGGTAGTGAATGAATGGTTTCCAGTATTTATTTAAGAAAAACATTGTCAACAAGTCAAAGTATTCGCTGCATGTGGAATGGTCTCCTCCTGGTTCATATATGTGTATGTATATGTATGTATATATGTGTGTATCCCATTTTCAGATTGGAATAATTTGGGGGAAAAACGTGTCCAATTTTTCTTTCTTTTGCATATTCCATAATGTACCAATGCTTCAATAAACAAAAGGTACGTGTATTGCATTTAAAAAGAGGTAATACAGATTTCATTTGCAAGATTTTAACAGTTTACTTATGCATGTAGTTCCTTTACCTTCTTCATTCTTCCTACAATTTTATAAAATATTCAAGGGTTAAGGTACAAGTTTACTCTGAGAGTTTTTATTCAGAAGTGCTAGGTATTTAGAAGTATTTTTAGGAGCAAATTTGTTGTGAAAGTTTAAAATTATAGTAATGTTGCCCTTTTTGTTACAAATGTTAACGGTCAACATTATTATTTTAATAGTCAACGTTGACGGCAGGAAATATTTTAAACTTTTGAATACCTATTGTTTCTAAGTAAAAATTTTGAGATAAATTTGCATCTTAACCCATTATTCAATCTATTGATGTTTACTTTTTAATGTGGTACGTTTATTGATGTGTGGATGTAAATAATTATGTGTGCTTTCTTGGATGTCCCATCCTAAAATATTAAAAATTTTACTAATCGGTTGGTTGAATAGAAGTAAAACTCGGTTTCTCTTAAATAAGGTTAAGAGTTTGAAATCTGGAAACTTAGGAAAGAAGTCACATAAAAAGGGTTATTTGAATTGAATTTCAAATTGAATTTGACAATACTTTTATCCGGTATAAGAATATTTGCATCAGAAAATTCTATCAGTAAAAAACCTTAAAATTTTTCCCATCGTGCTGTGTGATAGTTATAAGATAATAATCCAATATCAATCTCTTCGATTGTTTCCAGACTCATCCTAACAGCGTATAGTAAGATGAAAGAAAACCGTCCTAAAAATACATACAAATCGAGCGTATCAGAATTCACAGTGAGGAACTTACAACTCCTATTTAATTGGTTTTCAATATTAAAAGAAGAGACTCACATGAAGAACCTAGGAACTATGAAAATTATTAAAACCCTTCAACTGAAGCGCCTTCGAATCAATAGTAATATGACAGTCTCTGAAGTTAGCGCCATTGAAATTACCATGAGTCTGTCCTGCATTCAGAATAGCATTAGTATTGTTCTGTGTTGTTGCAATATGAGAAGCCCCGCCATTATCATTAAAGTTGTTGCCACCTTGCCCCTCTTCTCTCACCTCGGTACTGATCATCATCTGCTGATGAACTACTCTTACCTGTTTCATAACATCGTGCGGAGGCATACCTTGTACATGATCGACCTTACATAAACCAAGTGGTCGTCTGATAAAATCATGGAACTCACAGTGTGGTCCACCAAGATCCACGTCAAGGCCTTTCCAAGGATTACACAGTATGCGAATGAAATATGAAAGAACAAAGCCCCCAGAAAAGCCAGTATTGAATTGAATTTCCCATACGTCTCTTGTTATTCTATACAACCATAACTGACCTGTTCTTTGTCGAAACTTATCTTGATACCTTAAAAGTGACACTCCTGGTACTGCTGTTCGTACTATGAAGCTCCCTTTTGATTCATCAACTCGAGCGTCTCGAAACATAACAAGGCCATTGAGATTATCTCTCTGAGTTGAGAGTTCCATGTCTACTCTTACTGGATTACCTTCACATAAGCAATCAGAGAGGGTGAAAAGCACCTTGTTTCGACTCAATCTACAATAAGAAACACAAGTTTGTGATGGGTCGTAACGTGAAGAGTAAACAAGAGCGAACTCTTTGAAGAACTCTTCACTTGACCATGCGTAGAGCTGGGCTTTAACCGTGGGGTCTTTAGGCATGCTAGGGCGCAATAAAGGAGCTGTGCCCCAAGTGGAACCCCTAAGCATGCGAAACATTCTCAAGGAAGAGAAGAGGAGAGAGGAGAGAGGAGAGAGGAGAGAGGGAGGTATGCTGGATGAAGAACGCAATTAGGCAATTAATATAGAATATAACGAGTCTGTGAAAATTAGCATAAATCCTTAAGAATAACTTTTGAATTACTTTTTTCTTAAGGAAGAATTCAATTCCATTCAATTATTGATAATTACAAGAGGACTTTTCATTAATGAAAATATATATTCGAATACATCCAGCCATATCCAAGGTGAAGGATAATGGAACCTCTCAAAGAATTTTTAAAGTTATATTATCCCTGTTTGCTTTAGTTCCTCAGATTTTTAGGAATAGCACTAGGCATTTCAATATAATTAATTAAGCACATATACCTTTTATAATTTTATTATAATATAATTATGTTTGGCTGGCTATATAACTAAAGGAATTTCACTCGTAGAAATCATGATTGCTTAGAAATTGGAAATTTACGTTCATAATTTTATATATCTATTAATTTGTTGCCCTCCTTTTAAAAAATAAGTCTATGATCATTACCATTTTATATATTGAGCTGTAAAAAGATGTTGATAACAATGATGATGGTGTTTTGGCAAGAAAAGCAAAAAAAAAAAAAAAAACGATGGGGATGATGTCATCATCATGAGGAAGAAGGGAGAAGAGGAGGAGTAGGAGAGCTATTTAATTGACAGAAACCAAGTTTGGATTCTTCTCTCCTCCTGATGTTCTTCATCCTGTAACTCTTCTGCCTTTTTCTCCTCTTTGTTCTCCTTCTATGGAGGAGGACGAGGAGGAGATGGAGGAGGATAAGGAGAAGCAGGAGAGGAAGAGGGAAAAGGAGGAGGAGGAGATGGCGACTAGCAATAGTTCTAATCAACGCACTACCGATGATCATGTTGGGGAGAAAAAGTTTTTATTAAAGAAAAAAGAAGAAAAATATTTTAATAAATGTAATTTAATTTTTAATTTCATTAGAGTCTTTTGATATTTCAAGGAAATCTTCTTAAATTAAAGGATTAATTTAACCGGCATTACGTCGTCCCATAAAATTAGGGACCTAATTGAAATTATCTGTGTATATAGATATATGCAGAAACAGTTGGGATATTGGCAGTGTGGTTCAACTTTTATTACCGGTTTTAGTCTAGTTTAACCGAGCCTGTCGAAGGACCTAAAAATGCTATGTTAAACAAAAGATCTTCTAGGGTAATAATGTAAGTGCAATTAATGTAAGAATAGTTTTCCACGTGTTGAAACGAAAGAAGGCAATTAAAACTGGGTGTTGCAGGAAATTAAAATGCAATCAAAACAGCTAAATACGACTTCTTTGGTCTTATTTATCAGGGATTTTCAGCGTATTTTACATAGACAACAAAAAACTTAAAATACATTAACTCTTTATTAAAATATAACAATTTTTCAACTTTAACCATTTTCAATATATACACCTTTTAAAAAAAATAACTACCTACACTATAATAAATAAAGAATAAAATAGTACATTCATGCTGAAAATTTAATGAGGTGACTTATAAATAGGACAAAAAAAAAACCTTCTCTCTCTACCCTATAAACTATTCTAATCCTATTTATAAAGCACTTCCAGCATATTTTACGCATACCAAGAAAAACCTTAAAATACATTAACTTTCTATTAAAATATGACAAATTTTCAACTTCACCCATATTCAATATATACACCTTTCAAAAGAAATAACTATCTACATTATAATAAATAAAGGACAAAATAGTACATTTGCACTGAAAATTTAATGAGGTGACTTATAAATAGGACAAAAAAAAACTTCTCTCTCTACCCTATAAATAGAACCAGAGGAGTAAAACACTTTTAAATAAAGCAAACTAGCACTAAATAGGAACTTGGACAAATGGATAACAAACAGATGGAAACATGGTTAATTTGGCCGAGAGATTCAAGTGAATGAGCGAATCCAATTGTAATTAATGACCTTAGGACCCTTAGGTACAAGTTACATGTAATTAACGTAGTTAGAAACCCCTAAACCAAATTAATTAACATGAGCCTCTTATAATGAGCAAATATGACCACTAAATCAAATGATAATTTGACAAAATAATCTCTGGAAATTAAGCCAACTTAATCAACCAAGAAAATCACACAAAAGTAACATTAATTAAGTTCAAGATACCAACTAACCTATGCAGGACCCTTAACATAAGTTTAATCAACATTAAATTGTACATGATTACAATGCAAACCCACATCCAATCCAATCTAAGACCTAGATTAAAATTAAATACAAACTTACAAAAGTCCCTAGCCATCAAGTGAATGGTCAAGCTCCAATCCTCTAACCCAAGCTTCATCCATGACACCCACCAAGCTCCTTATTAGTCTTCCATAGAAAAATGAAGAAGAGAGAAGAGATAAAATGAACAAGATGAAATGTACGTAGGCGTGAGAGGAAAGAAGAAGAAAAAGATGCGACCCCTCTTGTCCAAGGAGAGGAAAGAGGCGTAGGGTTAGAGAGAACGGAGAAGAAAGGGAAGCAAGGGTAGGAAATTTTGGACCAAGGGAGCCCAGACAAATTAAAATGAGCCAACAAGAATATAGCGATATAAGAAAAAGGTAAAAAGAATGATTTATTTCCTTGAAAAATTGTCAAATTTGCCCATTCAATTGTCTTCCCCCTGTTTTATGTATTCTTTGCTTTTGGACCTCTTTTGTTTTGTTTTGTTTTTTGTTTTTTGTTTTTTGCCAACAGTTTTGGATCTCTTTTGGAGTGCAAGAACAAGTCATAGTCATTGAATCTCTTTTTCGAGTGCCCACACGACCTAAAATAACAGCATGAAAGTATATTGCAACGTTAACTAATTCATGTCACTACAAAAAAATTAACTTTCAGCGGCGACAAGTCGCCACTAAAAAGTCGTTGCCGTAGCAGCCGTGGCTGAAAACTTTCAGTGACGACTAAAAAGGTTGCTGCTGAAAGATACTTTAAGCGGCGACTTTTAGAAGTTAAATGTCGCCGCTGAAAACACTTTCGGCGGCGACAAAAAAGTCACCGCTGAAGGTCTACTTTCAGCGGCGACAAAAAAAGTCATCGCTAAAAGTTCAGTTTCAGTGGTGACAAAAAAGTGTCGCCGTTGAAAGTCAACTTTCAGCGGCGATTTTTTTTGTTGTCGCCGAAAGTCATCGCCTAAAGTTTGTTTTTTTGTAGTGTGTGACACATAAAATCTTAGGCCTAAGTACTAAAATCAAAAACGTGTTAAACAAAATGCACATTTGTTATCATTTCAAGAGGAGAAAATAAAGGAAAAGAAAAGTTCGAAAAGAAAATAAAATAGAACGAGGTCAAAGGATAATTGGAGGAAAAATTAGACTAAAAATTCATAATTTTCTCTAAAATGAATGCTTGACATCTTCTAGTTTAATCAATCATGAAATCAACGATTTCATTTCATCTTACATAAAACGTAATGAAAAATATTAAACTTCATGAACATTAGAAAATAAAAATATTTACAATTTGATCCCGAAATTTTCATGATTAAATAATAATGTCTAATAAATTGAATTAAACTCAAAATCAACTGTAAATATGGAATAAAAATATGTAAAAATGAAAATATATCAACAGCTATCAACTCCAATAAATTCATAAGTTGTTAGCACATTTTCCTCCTTAAATT